TTTGATGGTGAAATTCTTCCAGATCAAGTGATGATGTGAGCACTGAAAGGAAGAGCACCACCGACGTTAATGAGCTCGCCAGTCCGGCCACGTCCATCACAGTGAAAAAAGAGTACAGAGGCTCGTTCGCAAGGACTGCCGTTCCGGCCGTTACAGGAGCGGCAGGTACATTTGGCGCTGGTGCAGGTGCATTTGCCGCTTCGTCTTTTGCGGCGCCATATTCTTAAAACAAATCAAAGAAAAAAAAAATTTGATATGGTGGCTTGTTAATGACAAATTAGATCTTTTTTTTTTTCCTTTGTGAGTAGAAGAAAAAAAGTTTAGTTAATTACCTATGAAACCACCTGGGACGGCAAAGACGGCGGCGAAGAGAACCGTGGCGACTAGGATAGCCACGGTGGAGCATGACTGAGAAGTGTTCTTGACCCATTCTTGGGCCCCTTTCAGTTGTTCTTTGTGCTCGTCTTCTAACAGTTGCTTCGCCGTAAGATTCTTCTTGTTGAGATGGATTGTGTAAGGAAGAGGAACCATTTTTTCCACCTCCTGCAAAATCACAAGAAGAATTCACAATTCTTAAAAGAAATGTTTAATTCAATTGTTAGAAGTTTGTTTGGTTTGAAATAATTGAAGCAATATTATTTTGATCAATCAAAATTTTTAAATGATTTTGTCTAGTAAATTAGTAGTTACTTACTTTATATTATAAAAATTTAAATTATTAATTGTGAATACAAATCAAAATTTTTTAATTAATGGGTTCTAAATTTTTAGTAAATATTTTTAAATAATTAAAATAGTTTTTCCTTCTCCTCCGCTTTCTCTCCCCCACTTCTCTTAAACTCTATAAAACCGAATGGACTCTAAAAACCAAACAGACCGTAAATGTTAGTTAATGAATTTAGAGAAACAACTGATCAAGGCTTACTCTGAACCATCTCAGCTCCTCTTGCAGTTTCAGAGCGGCTGTCGATGTGGTACCTCCGCTATAGTATTTTGTACAGGCGGCTTTGTGCAGAATGGTGTCACCGTCATTGTCGATCCCCAAAACCAGCCTACGCTTCACCACTTCCCCGAGTTTCCTCTGCGACTTGATGAGATCAAGGATGTGGTTACGGTGTAGAGTGGCTACGTGCAGAATATTCTGTCCACTCCTGGTAACATGCTCCAGTGCTTGAGGATACACGTTGATAATCTCCTCCACAATCTCCTTGATCCCTGTCCTGGCGGCAATAATCAATGGAGTATCCGGCGCTGCCTCAGTGGTGGCGGAGGCACCATCACATCCGGTTTGGGACGACGTCTCCCCTGTTTCTTTGCCTCCCTTTTTACGTTCTCCTGAAAAGCAAATAGTGTTGTTGTGCCCTTCTTCGTTGCAATACTCACGCCACGAGCAAGAATCCATCTTTACCAGCATCTTGGCCAAGTCAACTGCAGTCTGATGCTTCTTTTTTGTTTTCCCAATTTCCTTAATAAAATTCCATCCTGAAAAGAAATAAATTCTAATTAGAAATTCATAGTAAATTATTCTAACTAATTAATCAAATTATTTTTGTTAACACAATGATTGGTCGAAATAAAGTGACCCCCGTCTCCCTCCTTTTTTCACAAACCAAAAAAGCAATTAAGAAAAATAAGGAAATTATTAGGGTGCGCACCTTCAGCTAGATGCAGCCAAAGATCATCGAACTTGGGTAGGCCTGCATTAAGCAAAATTTTGCAATTTCAATTTTAGTTGCAACTCACTTTACTAGAAGCATAAATGCTCGAAATTAATACATACGTATACAGCGTATCCCACTCTCACTGCTCTGTACATCCTGTTCAGTTTCATCTCCATCGACTAAGTTGCCTGGAATATCTGAAAACAAAAACGCCAAATCGAGTCAGTTGTACTAGAATTAATGTGTTTTTTTTGCCAGTATGATTGTAGTTTGCAATGAACTTACATCTATATATAATCTCCAATCCATACATTATGGAAGAAGAACTTTTGAAAGCAGTCGGCATGCTAGCGAGAATGTGAAGACATGTCTTCCCAGAACATTTCTTTGTCGCCAGCTCTGAATCTTTTTTTAGTAACGAAATAGCTGTCTCTGCATTTAATAGACAATTCTCATGCATTTCTCAAATGAAAAGAAAAAATGTGTTTTGTAGTTGAAATTGCCTGAACTATTAAACTACAATCTCTTGCTCAATGGGGTCCCTTGGGTTTTAGGACTCAAACCCAGCTAATTGTAGTTTGGATTGCAAATCACCAATCTCTTTCCTAAGTCAGTGATTTAATTTAAAATTAAATCAAATGAGCAGTACGTACCGAATTTTTCATTCATGATAGCAATATGAAGAATGGAGAGGCCATCAGATTTTCTTGTGAAGTGATCATCTTTCAGATTTCCCTTTTGAAGTTCCACCTCATTTACTAAGTACTCCACTGTTGCTTTATTGCCAAATGCCGCAGCCCTGTATAGTGCCGTCTCCCCTAAATTATTGCGTTCCATCAGCATCCTCGCTCGTCCTTCTTGTGCAATCTCAACTAAGAATTTTACTGCCTTAAAATTGTTGCTCGTGACCACCTCGTGGAGAACGGTGTTACCATTACTGTTCTTCTTCGTGAACACTTCACATCTTTTAGGCATTTCAACCTTTTCAAAGAGATCTCGAAACAGATTTATGTTTCCCATGTATGCTGCAACGTGGAAAACAGTATCTCCGCAAGGAGTGAGGGGATCGAATAAAGCACAAGGTTTGGTCTGATACGGTGTTTTAATGTTTTCCCGCTCATTTTCCAAGGCCTTTACATAAAGCTTCCTCATTTCCTCAATACGTTTAGGGGTGCTTGATGTTTGGCAACAACATCCGGAGTTTAAGAGGACGGTTGAGGAACAGTGGAATGCAATGGCAGTGGATGGGTTTGCAGGCTTCAGATGTAAACAAAAATTGAAGATGTTGAAAGATTTCTTGCGAGAATGGAACAAAGGAGTGTTTGGAGATATAGAGGTTCATTTTGAAAGGGCAGCAGCCAAAGTTGCACGTGTAGACATGAAGAATGAAGATTTTCTGCTGGATGAAGTTGAGGTAAATGAAAGACAGGAGGGCTTTCAAGAGATTTGGGACATTTTGAGGAAAAGGGAAGCTTTATGGAGGCAGAAGTCAAGGAGTAACTGGGTAAAATTGGGGGATGCAAATACCAGGTTCTTCCATAAAATTGCAAATGGGCGAAAGGCTTGTAATGGCATTGTAGGGTTCTCGTGTGATGGACAATGGGTCGAGGAGCCAGAAATGGTAAAAAAGGCGGCTGTTGATTACTTTCAAAAGTTGTTTAGTGGAGAATCATGGAATCGTCCAAAACCATCTGGTATTGCTTTCAAACAGATATCTGAGGAGACGAGGGTATGGCTAGAAAGACCATTTTCGGCAGAAGAAATCGAGGACGGATTGAAGAATTGTGAGGGGAGTAAAGCACCAGGACCGGATGGATACAACTTTAATTTTATCAAATTTGCCTGGAATAGCTTGAAGGAGGATTTTGTAAGTTTCTTTGGGGAGTTCCATAAGCATGGCAGGTTAGTTAAGGGTCTAAATTCGTCCTTTTTGACTTTAATTCCTAAAAAGCTGAATTCTGTGGAATTAAAAGATTTTAGACCTATTAGCCTGATTGGGTGTGTTTACAAACTATTAGCAAAGGTGTTGGCAAATAGGCTTAAGGTGGTAATGTCACAGATTATTAGTGATACTCAATCTGCTTTTGTTGGGGGGCGTCAGTTGGTTGATGGGGTGTTAGTCTTGAACGAAGTTGTGGAGGAGGTCAAGAGACGCAAGCACCAAGCTTTTATTTTTAAGGCAGATTTTGAAAAGGCATATGACTGTGTTGACTGGTCTTTTCTGGATTGGATGATGAACAGATTTGGGTTTGGAGTGCGATGGAGAGGATGGATAACAGAGTGCCTTTCAACAGCTAGAATCTCAGTATTAGTGAATGGAAGCCCAACCGAGGAGTTTATGATGGGTAAAGGATTAAGGCAAGGGGATCCTCTATCCCCTTTTCTGTTTTTGATGATTGCCGAGGGGTTACATGGTCTAGTTAAAAAAGCTGAGTCCGAGGGCCTGTTACATGGAATCGAAGTGGGTAGCAAGGGATTGAATATTTCACTGCTCCAATTCGCAGATGATACGGTGATTTTGGGAAAAGCAACTGGAGAGAATATTTTTACGGTGAAGACCATTTTAAGGTGGTTTGAGTTGATGTCTGGTTTGCGAATTAATTTTCGTAAAAGTAGTATTGTCGGATTTAATGTGGTGCAGAGGTGGTTATATGGAGCAGCATCTGTTTTGAGATGTGGTGTAGGGGCGATACCTTTTGTATATTTGGGAATGCCAGTGGGTGGCAATCCTGGGACTAAGAAGTTGTGGGAACCAGTGGTGAATAAATTTCGAACCAAGCTTGCCGTCTGGAAATCTGCTTTGCTGTCCTTTGGCGGTCGCATCACTCTGCTTAATTCGGTACTATCCTCCTTACCTATTTTTTATATGTCTTTATTTTTAGCGCCTAATTGTGTGATGTCTGAGTTGATCAAAATACAGAGGGACTTTCTGTGGGGTGGGGCAGAATTAAAGAGGAAGATTCCTTGGGTTAGCTGGGAGGTGGTATGTCGTAGTAAGGAGAAGGGTGGGTTAGGAGTAATGGATTTGAGGAGGAGGAATTGGGCACTTTTAGGGAAGTGGTGGTTTAAGTTGGGTGAGGGTGGTGAGAGCTTATGGAAACGGGTTGTGTGGGATAAATATTATGGGGGTCGGAGGGAGATGGACATTAGGGCAGTGGAGAGTGTGAGGATGTCTAGGATTTGGAGGGATGTTATTAGTGTCGGGGGGAACTCTATCAAATTACAAGACATGTTAGGGAAGGGGTTTAGGTGGATGGTGGGTGATGGAAGGCAAGTAGGTTTTTGGCGTGAGCTTTGGGTGGGGGATAAATCTCTAAAGGAGTTATGTCCTAGGTTATTTGAACTAGCTATGAATAAGAGCGGTATGGTTTGTGAAATGGGGGTGTGGGACAGGGGTTTATGGAGATGGAATGTTGACTGGAGAAGAGGGAGGTTGGGTCGAGAGAGAGGGGAGGAGGCGGTGCTGTGGGAGGTGCTAAGCAGAGTACAAATCACGGAAGGCCGCAAAGATTGCTGGACGTGGAGGCATGATGCAGAAGGGAGATACGCGGTTAAGACGGCCTATGAGTTTCTGTCACCTATGGAGTCCATCCTTCCGGATCACATTTGTAAGTTGATTTGGTGTAAATTAGTACCCTCAAAAGTTAGTTTTTTTGGGTGGAGATTATGTTTGGACAGACTCCCAACAAAAAGAAATTTAGGAAAAAGAGGGATTAAATTGTCGATTGAGGATTTACGGTGTGGCTTGTGCAAAAAGGAGGAAGAGGAGTGCAATCATTTATTTTGTTCATGCGATGAGGCCTGGTTAATTTGGGTTCAGGTGATGTCCTGGTGGGGGCTGCAGGTTGTGATGCCCAACACAGTGGGAGGGGTGATGGAGCTTTTCTTGTATGAGTTGGGGGGTATGGTAGGGAGAGAGCTAGGGGCGTGTCTTTTCCTGGTTGGGTCTTGGTATATTTGGTATTGGAGGAACATGAGAGTTTTCCAGAATAAAGGGGAGTGTCGGGACAATTTGCTTCATATGATTCAGGCCAAAACATTTTTATGGATTAAAAATAAGGTGGCTGGAAGTGTCTTCTCAATAGTTGATTGGAAACTCAATCCACGGGAGTGTGCTGCTGCGATGAGGAAGCATAGAAGCCTGCTGAAAACATTCCATAAGAACACAGACGGAAAGCATGATGAGTAGTGTGGCTGGATTGTGTGGGATTACATGTTTCTTGGAATTTCTTTGTTTTAGTTAGAATTTCGTAATTGTTTGTAATTGGGTTGGAGTACCCCTTGTACTCTATATAATCAAATATGCTTTCTTTTGCTGATCAAAAAAAAAAAAAAAAAAAAAAAAAAAAAAAAATTTCCTCAATACGTTCTTCATCTATAACCAAAGCGACTTCTGTTGTCATCTGACTCATCTCTCCTCTTCTTTTTTCAATCTGCTAAATTGATAAATAGTTTTTTCTTAAGCTGCTTTAATTTGATGTCGATGATTCCTGGTTTTATGGTCTGCGACAGCTTGAAAGAGTAGTGAAAACTAATAGCATCTCAACTTTGCTGAACTAATTAATAAAGTTAAAAGTTGAAAAGTTTGAAAACAAGATTATGGTAAGGAAAAAGGAAGGAATAACAAAGTTACTAGTTCTGCTAATTGCTAGAGGAAAGAAATACTTCTGTCGCTAAATCTAAATCCAAGCCAATAAGAAAAAGACACGTATTTGATCCATAACGAAGTAATAAAATATAAGATGTCATATAAGATGCATCATACAAATAATTTGATCCATAACGAAGTAATTTTTTAAAATGAAAATGACCTTGTATTCAGAACCATAAAATAAAAACGTACCTACGTAGGACCCACTTGCAGAAGCTGATGTGAGAAATGCTGGAATCGGAAGAAAATAAGAAAATATCACCATGATGAAAAAGTAGGAATTAGAGGAAAATATTTACTACTACGATGATGATGA